GAAGGCAGTCGCTTAACCGACTGAGCCACCCAGGCGCCTGGATCATATGGTTCTTGTTCTTTCTTTTATTAATGTATTGTATCACATTGCTTGATTTGTGGATGTTGAACCAACCTTGCAGCCCAGGAATAAATCCCACTTGGTCGTGGTGAATAATCCTTTTAATGTACTGTTGGATCCTATTGGCTAGTATTTTGGTGAGAATTTTTGCATCCATATTCATCAGGGATATTGGTCTGTAGTTCTCCTTTTTGATGGGGTCTTTGGTTTTGGGATCAAGGTAATGCTGGCCTCATAAAATGAGTTTGGAAGTTTTCCTTCCATTTCTATTTTTTTGGAACAGTTTCAGAAGAATAGGTATTAATTCTTCTTGAAAAAAACTTCTTGAAAAAGTCTTTGGTAGAATTCCCCCAGGAAGCCATCTGGCCCTGGGCTTTTGTTTGTTGGGAGATTTTTGATGACTGCTTCAATTTCCTTAGTGCTTATAGGTCTGTCCAGGTTTTCTATTTCTTCCTGGTTCAGTTTTGGTAGTTGATACATCTCTAGGAATGCATCCACTTCTTCCAGATTGCCTCATTTGTGGGCATATAGTTGCTCATAATATGTTCTTATAATTGTTTGCATTTCTTTGGTGTTGGTTCTGATCTCTCCTCTTTCATTCATGATTTTATTTATTTGGGTCCTTTCTCTTTTCTTTTTGGTAAGTCTGGCCAGGGGTTTATCACTATTATTAATTCTTTCAAAGAACCAACTCCTAGTTTCGTTGATCTGTTCTACTGTTCTTTTGGTTTCTATTTCATTGATTTCTGCTCTGATCTTTATTATATCTCTTCTCCTGCTGGGTTTAGGCTTTAGTTGCTCTTCTTTCTCCAGCTCCTTTAGCTGTAGGGTTAGGTTGTGTATTTGAGACCTTTCTTGTTTCTTGAGAAAGGCTTGCATTGCTATATACTTTCCTCTTAGGACTGCCTTTGCTGCATCCCAAAGATTTGGAAAGGTTGTGTTTTCATTTTCATTTGTTTCCTTGAATTTTTAAAATTCTTCTTTAATTTCGCGGTTGACCCATTCATTCTTTAGTAGGATGCTCTTTTTTTTTTTTTAAGATTTTATTTATTTATTTGAGACAGAGAATGAGAGAGAGAGAGAGAGCACATGAGAGGGGGGAGGGTCAGAGGGAGAAGCGGGCTCCCTGCTGAGCAGGGAGCCCGATGCGGGACTCGATCCAAAGACTCCAGGATCATGACCTGAGCCAAAGGCAGTCGCTCAACCAACTGAGCCACCCAGGCGCCCCTAGTAGGATGCTCTTTAGCCTCCACGTATTTGAGTTCTTTCTGACTTTCCTCTTGTGATTGAGTTCTAGTTTCAAAGCATTGTGGTCTGAAAATATGCAGGGAATGATCCCAATCTTTTGGTACCAGTTGAGACCCAATTTGTGACCTAGGATGTGATCTATTCTGGAGAATGTTCCGTGGGCACTAGAGAAGAATGTGTATTCTGTTGCTTTGGGACGGAATGTTCTGAATATATCTGTGAAGTCCATTTGGTCCAGTGTGTCATTTAAAGTTTTTATTTCCTTGCTGATCTTTTGCTTAGATGATCTGTCCATTTCAGTGAGGGTGGTATTAAAGTCCCCTACTATTACTGTATTGTTATTGATGTGTTCCCAGAATTGCCTGGGGAGCTGGCCCACTTGGGTCCACTTCTGCTGTGGCTGATTTCCTTTTGTTTGGAAGCTTCTAAGATGTTCCCATTATCCTGGGAGTTCAGGAAAGTTCACCAGGCAATGCCCAGCTCTGTGACAATCTGGTTTGGAGCTTGGCAGGTGCACGTGACGTGCAGCCGAGGGGCCTTTGTCTTCTCAAGGAGGTTTTCTTTAATCTGTTGTTAACTTGTTTCCTTTCTGACCCTGCTCTTTGTTTCTTGTCTTTTGGCTGGCATCCCAGGCATCTCTCTCTCAATTTAATTTAAAATTAAATTTTATTTTTCCTTCCGGCTTTATTGGGGTATAATTAGCATACAAAACTTTGCACATGATTAATGAACACGCTGGTGAGTTTGGATATATGTATACAAATCTTCTCAATTTCCATCTCTTTGTTTTTAGCCACCCTCAGGACCCAGCCCCAGCTCTTGGGGTCCCTTAAGTGGCGTGAAGTGCAACAGTGTCTATAGTCCCAGAGAGGTGGGGCGGGGGTGGGGGTTGGGTAGAGCCAGGTGCTTCCCTGGGCCCAGATTCGTTCCTGTGCCAGATCTACGTCCTCCCACTTCGGCCCCCTCCCCCTGAACCCTGCCTGTACTGGGAGAAACTAAAGGTCCTGCGCACCCACAGTTCTCTTCACAAGTGTGGAAAAGAAAGCAAACAATTTTACTACGAAGTATGAAACGGACTGCCCACCTGCCATGCAGGTACTTCTCAGGATCTCCCATCCTGGCTCATGGGAGGTTCACCTGGTAATCGGGGTGGCCATCGGTGCTAGCGAATTGCCTGTATCTGAAGGACAACGAAAGCTTTGTGTCTGTGGCAGGCAGGTGGCCAGAGCCGAGAGAGGGAGCTAAGGGGCCTGCCTTCCTCAACAGGCGCATTTCAAAGAGGTGCCTCTGGGACACTTAAGGAGAACCTTCCTGGGCTCTAAGGCTCGTAGGAGGCTTATTTAGGTTTCTCAAGCACGCGTGCTAAGGGAGGGCCAGGAGCAGGATCTCCTTACATCAGGGGAAACTCTGCTGTGCCGAGCGGGCTGGGCGCCCTGGCCGCCGCTCACCTGCACGCCGCGGGCCGGAAACACACTCCGGTGTCCTCAGAACTGCCTAGACTCTCACTCGGACCGCTGCCTGCCGGATGAAGCGGTCAGCGGCCCTGCACACTCGGCGCGTGGCCTCGCGAATGCCTGAGGTGGATTGTCCCTCCCCCAGCAAGCTCCCTATCACCTCTGCACCTCTTCTCACTTCCACCCACCTGGCAAAACTGGGAGTCTTGGGAGGCGCTTGTTTAGCTGCCCTGGGCCTGACCCACGTGCAGGGCCCGCCACACAGGATGACGGGGTGATGGTGGCAGGGAGGGGCCGCTGGCCTGCCAGGCAGGACAACGGTAGGAGGAGGCACGATGGCCGACAGAAGGCTGGGCACAGACTTTCTGGCCATTTCTCCTGTTGACGGCTGGCAGCCTCTCTGCTCTCTGACCCCAGCAACTTGGGTGTATGGAGCAGTTTACCTGCCCGCCAGGGCGTGTCAGGTTGAGAATCTGGAACTCCTGCTCGTGGAGAAAGAGGAGAAAGAGCAAGGAGTCCTGGACCTTTCCCGCACATGTGCCCATCCTGCCCTGGGCCCCAGGGGGCAGCAAGAAGGGACCCAAGCATGCTCCTGTCTGTGGTGGGCTGAGTGGGGGCCACCCAAAAGATCTGTCCACATTCTAATCCCTGGACCCGTGAATATGACCTTATTGGGTCTTTGTGGCTACAGTTGCAGTAAAGATCTCGAGATGAGATCATCCAGGATTACCTGGGTGGGTCCTAAATCCAATGACAAGTGTCCTTATAAGAGACAGGAGAGGAGAGACCCAGACACAGAGAAGGCGGGGTGACATTGGAGGCGAGGATGGCAAGGATGTGGCCACAAGCCGGGGAATGTGTGGGACCAGCAGCAGCTGGAAGAGGCGAGGAAGGGTTCTTCCCTCGAGCCGCTGCAGGGAATGTGGCCCTGCTGGCACCTTGATTTCGGACTTCTGGACTCAGAGCTGTGAGAGACTCAGTCTCTGTTGTTTTAAGCCACCTGGTTTGCGGTACTTGGTACAGGAGCCCCAAGGAGGCCAACGCACTGTCTCTGGACCTTTGCACTGGCTGCGCCCTCCTCCTGGACTGCTCTTTTTCAGACATCCACCTCAACCAGGTCTCTGCTTAAATGTCCACTCTTCTGAGCCACCATTTGCCCTAGCCCCTGCTCTCTCTCTCTCCCTTGCTCCCTGCTGTATCCCAGCACCCGCCCCTCCGCACATAGCAGTCCAGCCACTAGAATGAAGGCCGGCTCCTCAAGGGCAGGGATTTTTGTCTTGCTCACTGTGGCCCCAGTGTAGATTTGGTGACTGAAAGTAGGAAGGCTCTCTTCACCTTTATCACAACCTGTATATGTGAAATAACCTCAGTTTCATAGGAAGGAAACGGAGGTGCCCGGCATCCAGTACGACCAGTTGTTAGTGAGGGATGGAACTGCAAAGAATCAGCCCCAAAGGGGAAAAGCTGGGAAAACGATAAGGCCAGCCGGGTGCCTGCTAGTTTGGAGAACAGAGTTGGCTGCAGTGGAAAAAGCCGTGGGGCTTGGGTGCGGGTCTGTCCGCCTCTTAGCAGTGAGCATGCAGAGTGCCAGCATGTGGGGAGGGGGCTCAGACACAGCTGGCTTCCTTCCCTCTCACCATGGGTAGAAAGGAAGGGGTCAGCAGGACTGTACTCCCCCTGGGGGCTCTAGGGGATGATTCTTCTGCGCCTCTTCCAGCTGCTGGTAGGGTCTAGGATGACCTCATCATAACTAGTTATATCTGCAAAGACCCTATTTGTAAAGAGGGTCACATTCTGAGGTCACTGGGGGCTAGGACTTCAACATATCTTTTAGGGGGACATAATTCAATCCATAACATCACCCAATATCCATTCCAGCCCTCTCCTCTGGGGATAAGACCCCAGTTTTGTTCAGGGCATCAGTGGGCTCAGCCTCAGGTGACAGGTCATGACAATCCTGTCTCCAGTTTTCCCCAGCCTCTCTTCCAGCTAAGGGAGGCCATGTGATCCAGTTCTGAGACCTAAGTGGAAGTCTGCTGGGCAAGTTTCTGGAAAAACTGTTGCTTTCTTGATAAAAGGGGACAGATGCAGTTGCCCTTGCCCTTTCCCCCTTCTGTCCTTTGCATATGTGACAGCAGGTGCTTCAGCAGCCATTTTGTGATCGTGAGGCAAAGCTAAGCTAATTCGATACTGGGCCTTGCCAGCGCTCTGCTGCTGAACCGAAGCCAGCAAGCTGCCCCCAGATTCCTTACATTGAACAACATGGGAGTTAGGGATGCTGACCCCTGGCAGAGCCGAAAAATCCACGTGTAACTTTGAATCTCCCAAACCTTAACTACTAATAGCCGGCTGTTAACTGGAAGTCTCACCAATAACAAACAGTCGAGTAGCACACATTTTGGAGGTTGTATGTATTATGTACTGCATTCTTACAAAAAAGTCAACTAGAGAAAAGAGAATGTTATTAAGAAAATCATAAGGAAAATACATTTATAGTATCATCCTGTATTTAACACACACAAAAATCTGCATGTAGGTGGAGCTGTACTTGTGGCCACGTTCCTGATACACTGTGTGCGTTTGTTCTTCTAGTCTGAGGAGATCACCAGGGTGTGTTCTACTCGCCTTTTCCTTTGTCTTTCTCTCCCCACCTCTTCTCAGCCTGCCTGACTCATTCTCTCGCCACCTCCTTTCACAAGTACCTTGTTCCCACTGAACTAGCCGGAACATGGAAGAAAGCATGTTATATATTAAGCGAGGAATATTTTCACTGAGAAAAAGACAAAAGATTAATTTGATTCTTACCTCCTTGTTTTGATTTGATTTTGTTTTCCTGTTAGAAGTCTTTGCCAGAAAGTTAAAAAAAAAAAAATCTTGGAACAATGATAAGTTCTCGGAACTGTGAACATGGGACACACAGCTCTGTTTTACATTATGGTCAAGGCCGTTATCAAATATGGGCTGGGCTAAACAAAGGCATCATAGGGACAAACGCATGCTCCTGATTCTGAAGGTAGGCAAGACATACGTCTTAGTCATCCTCCCAGCCCAGCACACAGTTACATGTTCAGTGTATGTCCGGGGGACGAATGAGTGACTGCACGAGAAATGCAGGCTCACTAGAGATGATTGGAACAATAACCTCGGAATCAATCAAAGCTAACACATGTGCAAGACGTGGACACTGAAATCACAAGCCGTTGCTGGGAGGAAGTGGGGGAGGCCCGCGAATGAGGAGCTATGTTATGTCCACAGACTGAAGGGCTCAATATTGTTCAGATGTCAGTCCTCCTCAAAATGATGTATAGATTCAATGAAATCCCAATCAAAGTCCCAGCAGGCTTTTTTTTTTTTTTTGTCATATAAATTGACAAGGTATTCTAAAACTCATACAGAAATGAGACAAAATTAGGATAGACCAAAGAGGTTTGAAAAAGAACCACATCAGAGGATTCACATTACCCGATTCCAAGACTTATTATAAAGCCACAGTAACCAAGAAGAGTGTCACGCGGGCATAAAATAGACCGGCATAGAGAGTGCAGAAGTAGACATGCGCACAGCCAGGTGGTTTTCAACCAAGACGTCAAGGCAGTTCAACTGGGGAAAAGATCATCTTTTCATCATCTCCAGATGGAGCTGGAGAAACTGGACACCCATATAGAAGAAAAATAAATCGTGAATTCACCTCACACCACACGCGAACATTAACTCCAAATAGGTCATAGACCTAGCTCTACAAGTCCCACAGGAAAACAGAGGGTCAAATTGTAGTGACTTGAGTTTTGCCAAGACTTCTTAACTGTGGTACAAAAAGTACAAACCATGAAATTAAAAAATCCATTCACTGGGCTTCTTCAAAATAAAACAACGTCTGTTCTTCAAAAAACACTGTTATGAAAATAGAAAGGCAAACGTCAGTCTGGAAGGAAATATTTGCAAAACATGTGTGACAAAGGACTTGTATCTAGAACTTTACAACCACATGAAAAGACAAAGGAATCAATTACAAATGGGCAAAAGATTTGAACAGACACTTCACCAAAGAAGATATACGAGTGGCTCAGAAGGACATGGAAAGATGCTCAGCATCATTAGTCATGAGGGAAATGCAAACAGAACCACCGCATGTTCATCTAGGATGGCTAGAATCAACAGGATGGACAGGTGTTAGGGGGCAGGTGGAGAAGCTGGAGCCTCCGGGCACCGCGGTTAGGGAGGTAAGACTTTGGCGCTGCCAGAGGGTTCCCACGGGCCCGGCACTTCCACTCCTCACTATATGCCCAGGATAAATGAACACACGTCTGCACAAACACCTGTGCACGGATGCTCATGGCAGCTTTATTTGTCATGGCCGCAAACCGGCAACAACCCAAATGTCCACCCCCAAGAGTCCGACAGGGATCGCGGTCCCTCCACACGACGGAAGAGTGCTCGGCAATACCAAGTGAGGGGCCGTTACACAGGGCGACGTGGCCGCGCCTCGGAATCATTCCGCTGACCGACGCGGAGGGACGGGAAGCAGAGCGGTGCTTGCGGCAATGGAAGAGGGGAGGGGCAGGAAGGGGGGCGACGGAACCTTTGGGGGTGCTGTTTATGGGCATCGTCTTCACGTGAGGTCCCCGACACGCCAGGAGTCGGGCCTGTGAACATCAGAGCCATTGGGCTGGCTACGCTGGTGCACTTGCTGGTCATCCACGCGCGGAGTCACGCGCTCTAGCAGTTACCATTTACATGACCTTCCCCTCCTCAGTCTTAGAATAATTCTTCCATGCGAACAAAAAGTTGCTCCTCATCAGGAACCAGAGAACTTCACGTGGCATCCCAGGCTTCCCTGCACTCTGCTCCCGATGACCAAGTGCCCCACAACCGTCCTACAGAAAACCCTCTGCTCTCCCAGGGCTCCTGCCCACAGGGCTCCCCCTCCTTCCGTCTGCCCTGCCTGACATCCCTTGAGCTCTGCTTCCCTGATACTCCTGCTCTGGCCTCAGGACACCGCTTGTCACCTCGGCTACCTAACAAGACAGACATTTAGCATCCCCGGCCGGGGGCCTGCTGTGCTCCTCCGGCTGAGGAAAGGAGTGGAGGTCCTGACGGTTCACGGGGCGTCGGCTGTGGCAGAGGCCCGAGCGCCAACCACCGCCAACCCCAGCAGGGAGAGCAAACCATTCCGGAAACATTGAGAAGCTAAGGCTGTGGGACCACGACGGCGACGGGATCCTGAGCACCCCCTATCCGGGCCTGCTTTTTCCTCCCGTGGGGGAAAAGTGTCCAAGGCCCCCCGAACACAGCGCTCACCCATTTCTTTGTTTAGAGCAGAGCGAGTCTTGCGGGCAATCTGAGCAAGGTTCTAGACACGGTCCATGCTGGTGTCGTAAAGCCCCAGAAGTGGATGCTGCCGTCAGCCGGGTGACACTGCAAGGACCCCCACCCCCCCGACCGCACTCACGGTCGGCCGTGCACGGGCAGGGCAGCTGGGGCAACCGGAACCTAGAGCGGCCAGGATCCGGTGGCTCAATGACTGTCAGAGATGGGGGACAGAGGAAAGGGCCAAGGGCCCCAGACATGGGTGGGGGAGGAGGGAGATAGAGAGGTTGCAAGACCAGGGGAAAGGGCTTCCAGGCCTACAGGACGGGCGGGTGTCCACGCCGGAGTCCCTCCACGGACAGAGGCCGAGAAGCGAACAGAAGGGGGAAGGTGGAGCGGCCTCTGTACAGAGCCACCTGAGTGAGTGCAGGTGCTGCCACGTGGCCTGAAGACACAGAAGCAGCTGGAGGGAAGACACAGCTGTGCCGCTCTGCCCTTCCTGGTCCCTGAGTCGCGGTGTCCCACTGGCCTCGGATGGCTGCCCTTGATTCCCAGCTGTGCCGCCCTCCAGGGTTTCGGCCTCACCTTCACCCAAGCAGAGTCTCTCGGCCCACCCCCGCGATTCCACACTTAGAGCCTTCCCTGGTACTGTAACCCAATTGCTACCTGGCTACTTTCAGCCATGAGAGGGCTCCTTTCGAGGCCAGCACTCGAGACCCTCCTTATCTGTCTGCCCCCGAAGTAAATGAATTCAGTCAGGACAGTTTACCAGTTACGTGGGGGGTACTGCGACAGCATTTAAACTGCTCTTGAAAAGTGTCCATGGTGTCGGAGGGCAAGTGGCCCAAGGCTTAGACACGCTACGCACGGACACAGCATCTCGCGCGGCCATGTCTGAAGCAGATGACCAGTCCCGAAGTGCAAAGGGGCTGGTGTCCAGGAAGTTCTTGGGGAAAGCAAGTGTGGGCCATCATTGCTGTCCCACACAGAGCACTTTAGAAGGAAAAACACAGGGACCCCCTCCCCCCCGCACACTCTGACTTTTATTCCACGCAATACCCGTCCAGCGCATGTTGCGCACCTGATCACCATACATGAGAGAAAATGATACTCATAATTGCACCGCAGTGAAAATCTCATGAAGACAAGCAAAATTATACAGAGAACTGACAAAAAATGCCTTGCTATTTTAAATGTCATTTATCTGGGTAAGCATTTGGGGACCCTGCGGCCTTTCAGGGCGCTTGAAAACCAGAGCACAAGTGTCCGGCAAATCCACGGTCTGCTGAAAACACCTGTACATTACCCCCCTGTAGCCAGTCATCTTTGGGTATGGGTCCCATGGAAAAAAGGAGCTCACATTAAAAGGCAAGTTGGCTTGTGCAGCAGAACCAATGGGATGACGTTACACTGGCCTGCAGGAGTGAGGCTGTTCACTTACGATAGTGATGGAAATGGACATCAGAGCCCATGGATCTGGTCTCTTTCTGGTTCCCCTCACGTGGCGGTTGGCGTCCCAATCCTGGTCAGGCCACGGTTGAACCAAATGAGACTGGAGTCCAAGTGCATGGCCTCCTGCCGCTGTTCCTTGCTCTGCATGGGGACTGGATTCCCTGGCAAAGATCGTCTGCGCCTCAAAAAACCCCCCACATATTTCTCAACGACCTGCCCATGGACTTCAAAGACACTGTTCCTAATACTTCTTTTTCCATCGGAAAACCCCAAGTTGCAGATCCGTTTGACCCCTCAGACAGGACTGGAGCTCATGTGCTAAGGGGGCCATATTCATCTCACATGTTTATGAAGTGCTGACAAAGATGAACGTGACACAAAGAGCAGAAGACAAAGGACAAGGGGATACAGACCCAGTGAAAGGGGCTATGAGATAAAAGCAAGTTATAAAAACTCTAGAACTTTGCATAAGTCGTATAAAACTCATTTTAATATAGCTAGATGAAACTTCTCTATGTCTTTGTTTCTATCTGTGTTTCTCACTTTTGGAGTCGTCCTAGTGATTAGAGCTCCAAGAAGCATGCTCAGAAGGAATTCTGTATTTCCAGGTCTTTCCTCTCTCTCCAGATGTCGTGTCGAGCCTCTCCTGTGTGGCAGGGAAGGCGCACATGCTCCTGGGAGGCCCAGTGGGGGGCCTCCAGCACACCTATCCCTTGCCTGCTGGAGATCTGGCAGTGAAGAGGGCTGGAAGGAGGTGGCAAGGCAATCAGGGCGCTGGGCTGAGAGCACCCATGGGTAGAATTCCTGGGCCCAGCGCGGATGGAACAGGGCAGAGCCTGCCAGCCATGGCCCTCCCCCCGCCGCCCCGCCCCAGCCTTGCAGTAAAGTGCCATTCGAAGGGTCCGCCCTGTCTCTGGGGGGCTAAGGGGGAGGAGGGAGAAGAGGGGCCAGGCTTGCCACCATACTCATCAGGGCTCCGTTCCTCCTGCCTGAGGTCTTCTCACGGGGCGGGGGATTCTTATTTAAGCAATGATTCACCAGCACTCTCATGCGGCAAAACCCCCTATCTTCTGCTTACATTACTCCTGAATGCAAAATTATTCAAAGCAGCTGAACCTTCAATATTATAAGAAAGGTCATATGAAAGGCAGATCCCATGAGAGAGCCACTGCTGGGCACGCTCTGTGCAAATTCCTAACCCATCTTGTTTCCTTCCCGACGCGCACCGGCCACAAGACGTGGCTGCTTGAGGGGCCGCAGCCAAGTGTGAGGCTTTAGGCACTGAGGGTGGGGAGGAGGGGCGGAGAGGCCAGGGTGGTCTTTGCTGGTGGGGTCGGGGGAGGGGGGCAGAAGGCAGTGAGGAGGGTGAGCCCGGTGCGCAGGGAAGACATGCGTTGCCTGGAGCCCCCTCCTGTGAGAGACCAGAGTGTCCCCCATACCCCGCCCCCGGGGCTCTGAGAAGATGGGACCTGGGTGCGGCCGCTCCTCTGAGAAGCGGCTGCGGGTCCCCACGCAAGGCTGTGGCTTTTCAGGCACAAGGACAAACGGCCTGGAAAAAGAACAGGCCCCCGCTCGGCGGGATCGCAGGGTGTCCCGTTTGTCCGCCCCGACGGCCCTCCCTGCGGCCCGACAGCCGGCCACGAGCGGCCCGCGGAGGTATTTGCCCAGGTGCATTTCCAGACCATCTCTGAGCTGATGACCGGGAGGTGCTGTCGCAGTCCAGCCACAGGCTGCCTGCAGCCTTCTCTCAAGTCCCCTCCGTTTGCAGGCGCTTAAAGGAGGAAAGTGCTGTTAGTGCTTCCAGCCGGCCACGCGCAGACGGCCGGGGTGAAGCGCGCGGTCCGGCGAGAGGAAGCCCGCTGCTCCTCAGTAACTCAAGGCCCCCGAGCCCGCGGCGCGGCTCTCCTCACGGCGCGGCCCTGAGCCCGGGCAGCGCACAGGGCCCGTCACCAGCCCGGGCGACGGCAGCGGGCGCCGCCGGGTTTCCAAGCCAGCCCTGTCCCACCCTGGCGCGGTCAGACGGCGCGGGCGGCCGCCGCACCCACCGAGTCTGCCCCGAGGGTCTGGCCCTCCGGCTGCGGCCCGGCAGGGGGCCTTCCGAGGGCCAGAGAGGCGGGCGCCTTGCCGCTGTCACTCTTCTCCGAGGGCCTCGCGCCGCCACGGGGCTTCCGGGGATGGCCCAGCCACCGCCTCCCCTGCGAGGCGCTGCCGCACTCGGCGCCCCGGCCGCTCGCGCAGGGCTCCTGGTGGCCGCGGGCGCACGGGCTCCCCGCAAGGCCGGCGCTCCCGCCGAGGGCCCTCCCGCCGAGGCCGCTCCCGCCCGGGCCCTGGCTGCCTGCGAGCGGCCGCTGGCCAGCGTGCGCGGGCCGGGGCTCCGGGAGGACGGGGCTGCTCTGGAAGGCCGTCCCGCCGTCCTGGCATTCGTAGGGCCTCTCCGGGCTGTGAATGGCCTGGTGCTTGAAGAGGTTGGCTCGCCGGCTGAAGGTCCTCCCACACTCACTGCACTCGTAGGGCTTCTCACCGCTGTGCACCCGCTGGTGCTGACTGAGCCCCGAGCACCCCCGGAAGGCCTTCCCGCACTCTTTGCACTTGAACGGCTTCTCCCCACTGTGGATGCGCTGGTGGTGGATGAGCTGGGAGACGCCCTTGAAGGCTTTCGGACACTGGCTGCACGTGTAGGGCTTCTCGCCGCTGTGGGTGCGCTGGTGCTCGATGAGGTTGGAGCTCCTGCTGAAGGTCTTCCCGCACTTGCTGCACGCGTAGGGCCGCTCGCCGCTGTGGATGCGCTGGTGCTCCAGCAGCGCGAAGCTGCGCCGGAAGAGTTTTCCGCACTCGGAGCACTTGTAGGGCTTCTCGCCGCTGTGGATGATCTGGTGCTTGACGAGGTTGGAGCTGCGCGTAAAGGTCTTCCCGCACTCGCTGCACACAAAGGGCTTCTCGCCGCTGTGGATGCGCTGGTGCTCCAGCAGCGCGAAGCTGCGCCGGAAGAGTTTCCCACACTCGGAGCACTCGTAGGGCTTCTCGCCGCTGTGGATGACCCGGTGCTTGATGAGGTTGGAGCTGCGGCTGAAGGATTTCCCACATTGCTGACAGAGGTAGCGCCTCTCCGCACCTTTGGAAACCTGCTGCCTTAGAACTGACTCCTGCCTACCACTGGGGCTACTTCTCTGCCACATCTCTCTTGCGTCCCCTGAGGAGCTGCTCTGACCTCTCTCCCTGCGGGGGCCAACCCCGCCGGAACCTGTCTGGGGAGAATGAGCATGTTCTGCTCCGAGCTCCAGCGCTTCCCCTGGCGGCCTGGCTACCTGGCTCTTGTTACCGGCCTGAAGATCGGTCCTCGGGAGTTCTTTTCGGCAATGCTTCTGCTTTGAAACCAACGTCCTGTTCTCTATCCCGTCACCTATATGGATAGAGAACACCCACTGGTGTCACTCTCCCTGCGACTCTATTTAGGGTTCGTTCTCCCTCCTCACGCCCACACCAAAGCTGACAAGGAATGTATCAGGAGATGAGGACATGGGGGGAGACCCAAAATGACTGTCCACAGACTGGACAGCAAGAGGGGGGAAAGGTGGGAATGAGCTGGAGGCAGTGGTGTGTCAATGGGGACTCCCTGTGAGATTTAAGTCTGCCACAAAGGGGAATTTCCCACCCACAGCGGTCACGCTGCCCTCCTTTGGCTGCTGCTCTTTGTGACTGACTCAGGCAAGCCAGCCCAGCGCCCCACACTCACCTGTCTGCATCCCCGCAGCGGCCCGTGTTCTGCAGGTGTCTGCTGCCCGGGGCCCCTCCCCTTGTTCCAGCCAGGAGACCAGGTGAGGCTTGGAGGATAAAAATCCTGCCCGTGGAAAGGAAGCGGATCAGTCACTCTTGAACTCAGCCCAGCCTTAGCATCTTCACGAACAGAGAACAAGGAACCCTCTAAGAGAGCGCCACTGGGAAGGTCCAGAGAAAGGACGGAGTCTCTTTGAGGAAGCAAAGGGATTTGAACGTCCAGGGGCCAGGTGGGCATGGGGAGTCCGAAGTCGATGGTGACTGGGGCCAAGAGGATAACGATGTTACTATTTGGCCTGCGGGGAGGGCAGTAGGCTTATGGGAAATGGAGCCGGGATCCATGGGGGGCAAAGTCCCGGGGAGTATCAGGAAGCAGACAGAGCTGAGGAATGCCTGTGCCTCGAGAGTCAAAGACCCGTGTCCATCATCAAACAGAACAGATGTCTCAGTTCCTTACGCCAAACTCAACTGATGATTCCAGAACTCCCCTTTGAGCCCTGGATCTGCGCAGTGAGGGTCAGAAACTAGTCTCCCTCTGTGTGGTTAGATTAGGGAGATTAAATCTGTAGGGAAGAAATGGAGCAAGCAGACCCCCTGCAAGCCCGCTGAAGCGGGGAAGCCTGCCCAGCTCCTTTCCAGATTTCTCCAGGCTGGAAAACCAAGTGCATGTCTTAACCTTGATACAAGGAAAAGGAGCAGCTAAACTCCGTAATGTGAAATGAATGTACAATTCAACCTTGATAAGAATGAATTACGTCTACAACAGTGCATATAAATATTTAAGGATAATACGCATCTATCTTTTGGATAGAAGAGGTTTACTTAACCCATGAGTTTATATGCAAAATAAATTTGATGGGGGCCCACGCATTTACCACTTACAGGTCAAAACCATTTTAGCTAAAAACTGTTCTACTGAGACAAAAGCTGGGCTCCAGCAGATTACTGCTCCGGTGGGAAAATGCATTTATTCTTGGGCTCACAGTAACCAACAAACAAAGAAACTTAAAAATAAATTGAGTTCAGAGACAGAGTAGGGGGATTGGATGTACGTGTCAGATCCTTACCCAGTGACACCAAATGACGATAGTTCTCCAGCATCACTCTCTTGTAGAGGATCCTTTGTCTGAGGTCCAGAAGCTTCCATTCTGTCTTGGTGAAGTACACGGACACGTCTTCAAAAGATACTGGCACCTAGAACAAGCCATTCCTGTGGCTGCAGGGGACTTCACCGCCATGAGTCCCAGGATGAGCGGGCAGCAACTAAACATGGGGCGGGGGTACCCAGAGAACTCAGCAGTTAAGGGGAGACTTGGAGTTGCAAGAGTTGTGAGGCCGGGACATGAAGAGGTGGCAGATGGAGACAGGGAGCCCCACTCACCTTGGGTCTGGCCTTCAAGAGAATGGCGGCCATCGCAGGGGTGCAAAGAAGCTAAGGGGATTGGAAAAAGCCAAGTATGAGATGAGGCCCGCCCTACTCCAGCATGACCTCATCCAAGTTAGGTCCTATTCACAGCTACTGGGGGACAAGACTTCAGCACATCTTTTTGGGGGACACAAGCCAATCCATAACACTTTCCCAAACTGAGCTTCTGTCCTCTCTCCTCACCTGGGTGGTGGGCCACCAGACAGGGAGTCCTGCCCGCCTCGTACGAGGCTTGGCTTCCTCCTTCTCATTTCCAGCACCGCCACCCCAACTTTCCAGCCATCCCTGGAAGCTCCACTGCCAACTCCTCTTCCTCTCAGCTCAGGGACCTAACAGAAAAACTCCAGAACATGCGTGCGTGCGCACACACACACACACACACACACCCCCCACTCCACCTGAAATAGACCTGCTCTCAAGGAAAAGAGAAAGACCAGAAGAGTGAGATGCACTCTGGAGGGACCCACAAGAGCTGGGGGAGGGGTGCCCTCTAAAGGAGTGACCTTCAGGCTGAGAGCTGAAGGCTGGGGGTGAGCAAAGAGAGGAGCAGGCTAAGGGCATGGCCCATATCTGGCCCTCGGATGGGCCCAAGCTCAGTGGTCACGGTGCTGAAACTGGGGGCAGGGTGGGGAGTGCAGAAGGTGAGGCCATGTGGGCACTCTGGGGACAGACAGGAGCTGGGGCTCATGCTAAGGGCAGGAAGAGCGTGTCACTGCCAAAGTGGACAGAATCAGATTTCGCCACATCAGTTCTCAAGACCAGAAGACAGTTTGCTCCAACGCTGTTTGCACCACCCAACTGGAGACCACAAGGCGGAACTCCCCCGTGGGGAAGCATAAGAACCAGGCGGTGGCTGGCAGGGGAGTGGGCCGCGAATGCTCATGCTGTCTGGGCGACCGCAGCTTATTTCTGCTACAGGAGAGAGGGTGAGGGGACAGGGTCGTACAGTATTTAAACTGCGGCGAAGTCCCTTATCACCAGTGATGAGCTGTCCATCAGCATTGGCCCAGAATCAATAAACTCATGTATCTGACGAAGAAATATATGCTAATCAGATAGGAAGAATCCCTGAAGGTGGGATGGACACTACAACCACTGGGTGAAAGACCATGTGATGTCAAAATGTCTTCCCCTATTTACTGCTGGTCACAAGACAGAAAGCTAACCTACCGGTTGGACAGAGCTGGGACCCACCTGCTGCGGGGATGCCACCATGGGAAGCGTGCGAGGCTCTTGTCAAAGTTTGACCCCATTCTAACACAGCCTTGGGAACCCGCACGCAGTTTATAAAGGATCTTGGGGACTGAGGGACCACTTACACACCACAAGGAAGCAACCGGCCCAGTCCAGAAGGTGGGCTGTACCCAGCCTCCTCTGCGTGTCAGTGTCATGGGGAAAAGAGAGACTGTTCTAGAGGAGAAGAGGTGTACACGGCCAATAGGTCAAGTGCAACGGAAGTCCTTGATGAGATGCTGGCGTGCAGGACAGAGGAGTCAAAGGCACTGTGGCTCTGGGGCCCTGCGCTGCTCATGTGTCGCATGCATAACGGCACCGGGTCGTGGAAGGAAATGTCCTTCTTGAAGTACTTAGGGAGAAAATGGCATGTAAACTTAATTTAAAATATCTCAGTAAAAACAAAGGAAGGGGAGTAGGGGGAGAGAGAGAGAGAGAGACCGAGAGAAGGAGGGAGGGGGAAAGGAAAGAGGAAACAGAAAGAAAGAAAGAGAGAAACAAGCAAATAAGGCAAGCTCCAGGCCTCTGGCAACCCTGCGAGGTGGACCCCTGTGTTCTGTTAGACTACTCGCTTTATTTGTCTGTCTGCTTAATGGCATTCACAATTAAAAGGGAAAATAGTTGGTGGTCCCTCAATAAGTAAACATAGTTATCACACCACTCAGCAATTTCACTCCTGAGTGTATGTTCAAAAGAACTGAAAACAGGTGTTCACATCAAAACAAATGCATCCAGCTTAACTGCAGCCTGATTGAGAGGAGCCAGAAGGCGGAAAGAACCCAAGACAGTGACCAAACAAAACGTGGTCTATACACACAATGGGATGTTATTTGGCCATAAAGAGAAGTGAAGCGCTGATCCATGCTACAATATGGATGAACTGTGGAGACATCATGATCAGTGAAAAAAGCCAGACATGGACACAAAAGGCCACATCCTGGATGATTCCATTTATGTGATGTAATCTAATATTTCACAAGAGCTGTCTTGACCTAGTTTTGAAGTTATGTGTAAAAATTCTCTTTTCTCTGCCTTTCTTGGGCAGTTTGCTAAGCCCCGACCCCAACTATCTCCGTTTTTGGGACCCCTCTCTCTGGGACCACCAAACACGCTCCCCCAATTCCCCCTTATCTGGGCCAGGTACCAGACAACTAGGGACAGCCCCAATGCCCCAGAGCCTGAGAAATCATCCAAATTAGCCAATGCACAGGGACCCTGCAGAAACTACCTACCCCTACCCCAGGTTCCCCCCCACACACGTGGCCCCACATGGCCACCTCCTCTCCTTCAGAGCTGTAAGTAACAAGGAAGTTCTGCCTTTCATTGCTCTGAATGTCACGACCCGTGATTTGCTATCAAGAAATCTTTAAGTCCTGGGGCGCCTGGGTGGCTCAGTCGTTAAGCGTCTGCCTTCGGCTCAGGTCATGATCCCAGGGTCCCGGGATCGAGCCCCGCATCGGGCTCCCTGCTCGGCGGGAAGCCTGCTTCTCCCTCTCCCACTCCCCCTGCTTGTGTTCCCGCTCTTGCTGTGTCTCTCTCTTGTCAAATAAATAAATAAATCTTGAAAAAAAAAAGAAATCTTTAAGTCTTATAAATCGTGTGACACCTCCAGCACCGGAGGGTCAGAGAGCAGATCAGTGGGTGCCAGTGGCTGAGGGGGAGGGCGCTGGGAGCAACTGCTTCATGGAAGGGGTTTCTCTCTGGGGGGATAAAAAGGTTCTAGAACTAGAAAGAGGTGGTGGTTGCCCAACACTGTGAATGTATTTCATGCCACTGAATTGTTGGTTCTAAAGTGGCTAATTTTATGTTATGTGAATCCCATCTCAATAAAAAAAGGGGGGAGGCAAAAGGTGTCACTGTCAAGTAATCCTTCTGATGTCCACAGGTTATGCTTCATGATGACATGCCGTCAGCCCCCGGGGGACCGGCACAAGCTAGAAGTGTGTGTGCGGGGGGAGAATACTGATAACAGCAAGGCTTTTCAGGCCACTCCGAAAATGTTCTGAAAAACAGCACGAGCTTCTTTTTTCCTTACCATGACTGTGCTGCCAGGTCATGATCCATTTTGGAAAATAGACAAGCCGAAAGGAAGAAATGTTCTCTCTAGCCACCCCCCGACACACATGCTGGGGTCCCTTCCAAGACCCCAAGAGAGAAGAGATTGTTGAGCTGTGACTTCCTGAGAGAAACACACTACGGACAGGGGTAGCCTGTAGACGGAGACCAACACTGAAGTTCAAAGGCACAGGGCGCATCCAGGCGCCACCATGCGAAGTGGTCACACCCAAGGGTCCGTCCTCGAGACCTAGTCTCCTAAAGTCAGCATACTTTCAAATCCTGGGAAGAAAGATATGGCAAGCTCTCCGCACAGACCCTAAGGCCAAGTAACGCCCCGGCAGGAATGGGGTGACACTCCTGAGCATGTGCATAAGGAAGAATCAGGAGGGACACTGTGGAACTGGAGAGCGGTTTCTCCTAAGAGCCTGGTGGGCTGCCAGAACAAAGGAGAAGCCGAAGGATGAGTCCAGGCCCCGAAGCTCAGGTCTCCCCGAAACCCGTCACTAGGCATACAGGTGGAGGTCCATCAGACATCGGTGCCTCAGGCAAGAAGCCAGGAAGGCCCTGTCAGCCTGGGTAACCAGGGACCGTCTGCCAGCCTCCTCCAAGGCTGGTCCACCCTAAGGAGGGGAGCAGAATCCCACCGTGCTTGCTGACTGGCCCAAGTAAAGCCGAGTATGTGGGGCCACCCCCCTGGGGGAGGAGAGGGACAGTGCTGCCAACTGAAACGCATCATGGCTCAAAAAAGGGAGAGGCAGTGGGGGCGGGGGGGGGCTTCAGGGCTGATGCCTACAGCAGACCAGGAGATGGGGCTATTTCCCCAGAAAAAGAAAACAGAAAACAAACAAACAACATGAAAGGCAGTCGGCAATCCCACGCAGGCAGGATCGGGAACTGGGGCTCTTCCATCTGCCAGGAGTGACGCAGAGCCTCTGCAGTCAGGCTTCTTCCTTCCTGGTGAAACTTCCTCTGAGGTTTGGCAATTCAAGACCCCAACTGCCTCCTCCTTGCTCTAGTAGTCTTTCCCCGGGGGGAACACATCACTTGCCACCCACCTGGTGGAAAGGCCTGGAGACCCAGGGCCTAGGGAGGCCACAGGTCAGCCCAGGGCCTCCCCACTGCCCGACCCAGCAAAGCCCTCTGAGCATCATCCTTGCAACTGGTGTCTCCCCTGCCCTGGGGGGCGGGGGCCACAGGCTGAACTGGTCATAAAGAGGGCTACCTCCTAATGGGGTTCTGTTGTTCCCTGCTCATGGCCCTCCCTGGGGTGCCCGTCTGACCTGGCCCTCCCCTCCCCTCCCACCTGCTTGCTCCCTACTCCTGCCACACTGTCTTCTGAGCAGTCCCTCCCCCACACCATGCCACTCATACCTCAGGGCCTTTGCACGGGTTCTTTCCTCTCCGTGGAATATTCTCTCATCTCCTTCAAGTTTTTCAGAAATACCATCACCTAACCACCTACTTAAACTTGCAACCCAGCTCCTTACCTGCCTTCCTCTGCTCTGTTTTCCCCATGGCACCTACCACCATTTAACACAGTCTCTAACTCTGAATTTAACATGTTTGCTGTTTGTTGTCTGTTTCCTGCCACCAGAACTGGCCCCGCCGCAGGGCGAGTTCTGCTGTTTCGCTTCTGACATGCCTGCAGCAGCCTGGCCCACACTGGCTGCTCAGCGAGTATCTGTTGCACCCGAGGACTGCTGAACAACTAGTTCCCCGGCTCAGCTCGGTTCCCTCCCTCTCCCGCTCTCAAGGGCCTTCCATCCCACCCCTGGCTTCCTCTCCTTACGCCTTTTCCTGGTGTGCTCCTCACCACCAAGGGGCACAACGCCCCGCCCTTGAGAGCCCCCGCAATACGACCGGGACCCACACGGCCTGTGCCTGCTGAGTTCACCAGGTGCCCCTCGGCAGGAGTGCCGCGACCTCACAACGCCAGCCTGCCCAGCGCTCCCAAACACAGGGGCGCAAAAATCCAAACTTACCCGCCGGGTGGCCGGTGCTCTCTCGCCAGTCCCAGGGTCAGAGGCGAACCGCAGTCAAAGGAGAGAAACTGGGAAACACCGGCTGCCTTTCCCAGGGCCCTCTCCCTCGCCCCCTCGCCACCTGCCGAGACAGGGCCCCCGCTCTGGGCCGCCGCAGCCCTGCCAGGCCGGCGTACTAGGGCTCCGCGGGCCACGGGGCTGTTCGCCACCCCCCACCCCCGCCTCTGGCAGGCCCGAGGCCAAGGCTGCCGCCTCCGAGAAGCCCGCCGGGACAGCGGCCCCAGGAGATGGCGGGATTCCCTGACGGGTCTCGACCTGGTCCCTGGGCGCTGCTCTCGGGGGGGCAGGCGCGTTCTGCGAAGCCGTCAGTCGTCTGTCCCAAGCGGACCAGCAGGGCCCGGCCCGCGGGCGGGGAGCGGGCGGGGCCGGGGCGGCGGCGGCGTGGGAACCCGGCGCGGGGGGTGGGGGGCATGGAGCATGCGCGTCGCGGCGGGAGGGCGGCCCGGCCCCGCGCGGGTCCCCGCGCGTCCCTCGGGGGTTCTGGGCTGACTCCCCGCGCGCCCTGGGGCCCTTCTGCTTCCCATCTGGGCTGCTTCGAGGACTTGGGTAGCAGTGGTCAGTCCGCCGCGGTCCCCCAAGGGGACAGGGGAGGGGCAGCATTGGCCGAGCACCTCCCATGGGTCAGACCCTGGGGCTTTACGTCCATCTAGTCATCTGTTCAGCCATTTGGGATCCATGGGACACTGCAGGGCACCCAGTAAGAGACCAGCGCCCTTAAGCTAGGAGGGCAAAGATGGGAAAATGGGGTGCACTGAGGAGGGGACTTGGGGAGGGCCGTGTGCAGACAGATGGAGGGAAAGGGAATAGCAAGAAGTGAAGAGCTGCGTCCGTTTTCCCTCTGCCGCTCCCACCCCCGCCCTTCCCATAACCTTCGAGCGGATCCGCAGGGTGGGCCTTGGGGTCTCCATTTTCCTACAGGTCACCATTCATGTGGCAAAATCATCATCAGTGGAGCACGTGTCCTGAGTCAACCGTGCTGTCCAAACGGTAGTCCTGGGAGACAGGGGCCCAAGGGTGTGTAGTAGCTGCGAACGCATGTGGCAGTCGGTGCTCCAGGTCACGTAGGCTCCTCCTCGACTCTGCGCAAGGGTCAGAACACTGAATGGCTCGTGTGGTGGGGGATGTCATGTCACATGTGGGGCCAGTCCTCGTACCCTTGGGGCTCCTGAGGCTTGATGGGGCCCTCATAGGGAGGCTGGTGGGGGCAATGATGCTGGGAGTGGGTGCCAGGAGGGACAAAACCCTTCCTTCCAAATAGGCCACCTTGGCATTTGCGGGCCTGAAGCTCAGCTGGAGCTGGAGGTTTTCTGATGATTGCAATTGTTGTTCTGGCCCCTGAATTTCCCAGAGGGGAACCACCACTGTCCCTTTGTTGTCCCTCCTCAGGGTGGCCACCACTGTCCTTCAACTCTCCCTCCCCGTGTGGCCACCCTCTCCCTTCACTGGCCCTCCCAGTGTGACTACCACTGTCCCTTGTTGGTCCCTCCACCATGTGTCCCCGGGTGCCACGCTGCCCCAAGACCCAGCCTCTTTCTAATGTCAAGTCTTGGCTGTGGCATCAGGCTGCTCTCTGCGCACCGGGGGAGGTCTGTCAGCAGCAATCGGGACCACGGTCTTCCTCGATCCTGCCCAAAGACAGAGAAGCCCTCCTCAGACAGAATGTGAATCCTTCCCTCCCACCCTGCTGGGCCATTTGGATGATGGGCTGCCCAGATCACTAATAGTTGCCCTAGGAATGCCATGCGCTGCTGGCCTTGGACCAATCAGATCTGCATCTGGATGTGAGGATGGGGGGGTTACCATGCCTCGAGCTGCATGGAGGAGGGACAGACACTTAAACAAAAAGGGGGTCCTCATAGCAAAGAAGAAAGGGGAAATGGCTGCTGGGAGGGCAGCCAGCAGTGTCCTGTCTCTAGGCATTCCTTTGGGTGACAGGGATTGTGGCCTGAAGGATCACCAGCTTTTCCGAGACGTCCGGTGGAGGGGAGGGTCGCCTTCCAGTAGCTCAGGCAACTGCTCAGCTGCACCTCGCTCCCCGGTGTCCGTTCCCACTAGTGG